AGTCGGCCAAGGTGGGCTCTCCTCTTCCAGGTGTTTCTGTCGCCCCGAGGCACGGTCATCACGAGAGAGAGGCACCCATGAAAGGGTGGCGGACACAAAGGCTTTTGAAGACGTGTGGAGAAATTAGCCCGCAAGCTCAGCCATGGTCAACGACCTTGGAAGACACAGCTACTTTTTTGCTGCCGCCTCACCATAAGCACCCTGCAAGCCACACCCCTTCAAAAACGGCTTCATCCTGAAATTCACAAATCATCCAAATTGCCATTTTCGCCATCTTGTGACACAATTCTTAAAAATGCAGTATTCGCTAGAAAAGAGATTTCAACGCATGGAGTAGTGCTTGTTGGCTGGTTTATAAATAGCCTAACGTCGAAGCAAATTCACGTTAGGCCATCTATGGCATTTCACCTTTTATGTTGAAGTTAACAGACTTTTCTTGGGCAAAATTAAATGGTTTGGTTGAATATTTTGGTGTTGGAATATAAAATGTTTTATTCTCTTTTGTTTTATTTGTTCGTGAGAAACATTGTGAAATAAGGTCAAATTAAAATAATGCATGTAAATCACCGACCAATATTGCTTGTATTTGGGACACAAAAAAAACCCCAAAATAATTACTAGAATACAAAAAAATACGTATGCACATTACACATTTAAAACTTGCAAATTACTACCCTACAGAATAAAAAAAACTTGATTTACTTCATTTAATACAAAACAGTGGGAGTAAGCAACACAACAACATTGCTTGTTTTAGTGGGGCACTTTTTTTTTTTTTTTTAAGATTTTTCTCAAAATTCAGTATTTTCAATCACTGATTAAAAAAAAACATTTTCGACTTGGTTAAATCCAGCCTGTATTATTTATTTTTTTTTTATTAACCATGTAAAGCACTTTGTGAGTCCATTCTATGAGGAGTGCTATATATAAACACAATTTACTTATGTCAATGTCATCACGCTGGCAAAGTGAGATTAGCCGCAAGCGTGCTAACGAGAGAAAAAAAAAAGCACATCGTCTTTCGCTGCACTTAGCCACACAATACGTCCAAGCTGTGCATTTCTCTTCAAGCACACACACACGCAAAAACATATATTCTATACAATCTCACACACACACACACACACACACACACAGTCAATATGTTCGGTGTTGACGGGGAGGAATGTGCCCTGAGGCTCCCATATAAAATTAGCAGACCATTCCCATGTTGGCTCCCTTTCATGCCCCCACTCGCAAAGCGGAACAACGCCAACTGTATCAATAATTCAGCCACAATTTAGCCGAAGTGGGCCCCGCATGTACCAGGTCACTTGCAACACGCGCTGTCGCGTTTGTGGTCAAACCGTCTCGACAAACATCTTGCTTTTCTGGAGCAATCGGTGCACACCTCCTGGCCTCCTGCATACGAAATGCCGATGCAAAAGGAGCTTTGGTGCATTTTTCATGACTGTATTATTTATGATTATTATTAGGTTTTGCGGACAGCCCTTTGGCATAGCTGTGGCTGTCGTGATTGATCGCGCTAGATAAATAAAGTTGCGTTGAGTCAGCACGTTGGCAACTAAAGTGATGCCTCATTGTTGCTCTATTGGAGCCAATTGACCGTATAGACAATTTTACAATGACCATGATGCAGTTTTAATCCACAAACCCTCTGCAAAGTAAAGCCTTTTTAAGGAGTGATCATAGTCACCATTAGTTGAGAGAGACATGAGAAGCATCTAACTTTACCCAATGGCGACTCTCAGAAGAATGACCATCAGTGGAGTCCAGCAAGGTTCTGCTTTTGAACCCTTTACGCTTCTCCAGTTTGAGAATATACAACACTACTGTTCAAAACTTTGGGGTCTCATAGAAATGTTCTTATTTTGAAAGAAAAGCAAATGTGGCTATAAAGACGCACAGTAACATTCAAAAGTTTGGGGTCACCTAACGGTCCTTATTTTTGAAACGCAAGCACGTTTAATTTACATTTTTTTGAGATGAAGATTTCATTACATTCTAGTGTTTGTTTTACAAAAAGGACATTTCTAAGTGTGCGGCGAGTAAATGAGGATTTCAAGTTGAGAAGCATCACTTGACAATCATCCGCGGAATCCTTACAGCCTCAAACACGTCTTTAGGGGGGTGGGATTGAACACCCCCCACCACCCCACGCAACCAACAACAGGGGATGTCTTCAAGGAGCCTTGGGCAACTAATCTGCTGGGCTGTAGCTGAGATGGAAATGCGCATGTGGACATTGGGGGGGGGGAAGGGGCTGGGAGAGTTGGCTGCACTCGCCGCCTTGGCCACACAAAAAGGCCTGGAGACGGGCGAACGCTGCGAGGGCAAGGAAGTCAACCTACGAAAGAGGAGAACGAGAAAGTTGGTCTTGAGGCCCGAGGCGCTTCCGAATGTGGTCCAAACAGACCTGCTGTCGATGAAATATACATCCGGCACCACTGGGGATGGACACACATACGCGCACGCACAAACACAGCGGTCTATACTGTTTATGCTGGATCAGTATTTATGCCATTTGACGGGATTTCACTCTGGTTGGAAGAGAAGATCATAAATCTATTTTCTATTGCGCTTTTCCTCATTAGGATCTAAGGTGAAATGTTGCCAATAGGAGCTGAATTTGGGAGGAAAAGTGGGGTACACAAGAGTGTGGTCGCCAGTCAAAGGCAGGACACATAAAGACAAATCCCACATTGACACCTACAGAGACATTTGGCGTTTCCAGTGAAGCTAAAATGTTTTGGGAACGTGGGAAGAAGAACCCACGCAAGCATGGGACGACGGGGTGGGTGGGGCCAGAGTTCAGATTCAAACCCTTAATCTTGGGACTGTGAGGGAGACATGCTAACCACTTGAGCACCGCGCTGCCCTTGGAGATCATCTTTCCCACAAAAACAGACGCAAACAAGGCCAAATCATCAGCGGCTTGTGCTTGTGACCTAAACTGCTCTGTAGAAACTCATGTACGGTAATGTGATCATCCAAGTACAATATGGAGGGCCGAGGTATCATTAGACAGCATTTTGCCATCCACCGAGCAGCGTATTGATACCAAACCACAGGAGGTATCATCACCATTGATTATGTGTCTAATTCTGTTGGATAAAAGGCGGACTGGAGTCGCTCTAGGCGGAATGAAATAGCAAATCAGATACAAATAAAACGCATTTCAGTGGTTCAGATTAGTTGGACAGAATGATTACAGCGCCCTGACAAAAGAAGACAATTCCACCATCTGTCCAAATAAAAAGAGAGAAGGTCCTAAGAAAAAAGTCGCAAGTGTGATGAGTAGTCACAGTGGACATCTAGTGGACACAATAATTATGGCAATAGCATACTGGGGTTGCAAGAACCAAATAAAATGAATTTATTCGAGCAAAACTGGTGAGTAGGAGCGAGCGAGAGACTCAATTTCGTGACTTCAAATTTTTAAGAAAGGCTGCACGGTGGGACCCTAATCTTGAAAAATCAAATGGAAAAGTTTGTAAGGATCCACTGCAACATCCAAGAACCCAGCATGTCAACCCAGTGTTGTGGCACTCTTGCAAATGAGCAAACAATAGTTCACTTCCTCTATCGTTGAAATCCAACATTCTAAAAGGCTGCCTCCTCCTGTAGTAATGGCAGTAATAATTCCTTTGGCCAATTTCTGTTTTTTTTTTCCAGACAACATGTTCACGTCGGCCATTTAGGAGGATCAATAATAGGTCGGAGAACAAGTCCGAACAGGTTAAGTGTTCCTCCAAGAGCAATGTGTGCTTAAAAAAAAAAAAAAAGGACATAAAGTGCAGAAATGATCTACAGCCTACAGCACCTCGGCGTGCTGGCCTCCTGATGAGCAGCCGTTGCGACTGGCTGCAAAATCAAGATGAAGCGACACTGGCGTCAATAATTCATCAACAATTTAATTTAAAAAAAAAGAAAAAATGGATACAAAAATAAATGAATATCTGCTATGAGGTACCCCTTCAATTCAGTTACTCTTCCGCCCTGATCTTATCACGCCAAAGTCAAGAAAATACAATGAGATGAGTCTCAACTCAAATATTAAGCTTGAGGATGAAAAGCGGCTTGGTTAAACAACATACAACGTGCAATTATCTTTGTTTTATGTATCATTGGACCGTAAATTTCAACTGTAGGGTTTCAATAAACAGCGGGAAGCCTCTTTTATGAACAATTCTTCACTATCGGCAAAACTGCTGCTTGTAGTGAAGCGAGTCGAGTTTGTGTGCGCTCGTATCTCAAATGTATGGTCACAAGTCAGGGCAACGACGGTTCATATCTCAAATAAAATCATTCGTCAGGTCACTCGTATCTGTACTTGAGAAGAGATTAGACTGGAGGAAAAACCTCGTGGCTTTGGGAGTAGAGAATCGCGAATTTGAAGGGGGTTCGCTGTATTCGCTTGGCTATTAGCCTTGCGTGTATGTAAAGTTTAGGCTGTATGCTGGATAAGGACATATGTATCACAATGTTATTATTTTTTTTTTGTGTACCCGAATCGACGTTAATTTCACAACATACATGCTGACGAATGTGCGCTACCGGTGTTGACATGCCTGCCTGACGCGCGAGTGTATTGCGCGGGAGTTCATCATCTGTAATGTTCCCGATTACAGCATGTCAATAATATCACGATGAGTTAAATCAGTCGGTGCACTCAGCGAGGGCCCAGGCACCGCCACGGTTCAAGGTCACCTCTTACAGAACGGATGAGTCCCGGTCTCGCCTCAAGGTCAAGCGTGACTATTAAGAACAAATAGATATATAAAAGAGTCAATTGGCTGCTCGGTAAAGAAGCAGCTCGTATATTTGTTTCGAGAGCGAGACACCACATCCAAACGGACAATTTTACAAATCTTCCGAGCGAGCTCAAAGTCTATGGTTCACTACTGTTCCACTCATGCAAGAAGCAAGGTTATTTTAGTTCACGAAAACGAACAAAATAACTAAAACTGAAATGTGGTTAACTAAAATAAACTAAAGAAGCGAAAACCAACTGAAAATACATTTTACGCAGATAAAATGACCAAAACTATTGCGGCGTAAATATCCTTTAAAATGTTGTAATGAGAGACGCGTTTTCCATGTAAATGCCCTAATCCGTTCCAAGCCCCCCAAAATTCAGACATAAATGTTTCCTGAAGCATAAAAATGCATCAAAATATGTAACAAATACATGTTATAATTAGATTATTGCACAATAAATGAGAGTTGTGCGTGATGTAAAAAACAAAAAAGAGAGTGAAGAATAAAAATGATGGTCATTTAAGTTTTTAACTGTGTCCTCATCGTTTTTTTACCCTCTTTAGTTCATGTTCTCTGTCAAGGACGTTTTCTTTTGTCGGCTTTGAACAATCCTTGGAAAAAATGTCCACGGCAAACGTCAGCATAGTGAGCGATCGCCGGATTGGTGAACACTTTTTCTGGGTGATTCACATTTACGTTCAAGAAACTCGGAGCTGGGAGTAGCAGCACAGACTGTATTTTTACATTTCACATCTTGAAATTTCTTTCGTTAAGAGGCAATATTTTCCCGTTGAGGCGTTTCGTAACTTGAAAATTTCGTATCAAGAGACGTTCGTAAGTAGAGGTACCAGTGATGGAGAACAAGACCATCCAAGCTTCATTTCACATGTGGGGGGGGGGTCGTGATGCATAACACTTTTGAAGCAGTTTTACGAACTGCACTTATTGTACTTCAAATTATATGCACTGTTACACAGTACCTGTATTTGAGTTGTGGATGTTCCAAAATTCATCTAAACATCGGACGACTAGTTGGGAATGGGCATGTGTACCAGACAAGTGAGGTCCGACTGGACTTGTTTGTCACAGCTTCACGTGAGGACACACCAAAAGTCTATTGATTTTGATTTCTCTAGGGAGCAGAAGGCTCCCCGTGCGTATGGTCGGGGCTGCGTGATGTTTGGCTGAATGTGGAGCCTCGGGGCTGTTGTGAAAAACACGGCGTGACCGAGGCCCAAACGGCAAACACACAAGGCGGCCTTTGTGCGCCCAGGCACAAGGCCTCGGCACGTGGCGAGAGGTGAGGGACATATTTAAGTGGCCGATTTTAGGATTTGGGATATTACCTTAACGGCTTGCCCCTTGACATTGCAAAATCTAAATGTTCAAAATAGTGTGCTAATTGCTTTGTTTTAAAACAACACAGAAAAAGGGAAGCTGTGTTCTAAATTCACAGTTCAGTCAAGTCCCTGACACGTGGCGAGAGGATACACTCCACTCCGAGTCAGTTAGCGCCTCATGCTAATTGCCATGGACAATGGGGCAAGGGCAAGTTTGTCCCACCCATTTGGTCCCCTCTTCATTG